CGGAGCTCCTTTGGAAGCAGCATGAGCTCCATCCAGAGAGCTAGGTGAGAACTGCACGTGAAGACACACCGAGTCATCTCACCCTGTTAAAAACTTTCTTTGCAAGATTGGCTTTCAGATGGTCTGGTTTAAATCCATGTTTCGATCACAGAAAGAGGAATGGAGGAAGGATAGAAGGAAATTATTAGATGTTATCTCATTATATTGTTTTGTTACAGAGGGAAAGTCAAACCTTAACTCCAAGGTATACAAGGGCTAAAAGAGTGATTCTCAGAAATCAAGGCTGCAAGACAATTGTTCCCTGTGTCACATGACTAGTTGATTTGATCCTTTTAATATGGTTTGGGCTCATCAAATTAGTAGTGTCCCCTCTGAGTAACTTAAAACAACAGAACAGACACAAAGAGTCACAGAGAGAAACATTTCAGCGATTAGATGGAGCTGACAGGCTGCCTAAAGCAAAATTCAAGCATCGATTCTACCAGAGGGCCTTTTGTACGTCCTTCAGAAGTCAATGGTCCCTCTGATTGCAAAGCATCAGGCTGACAGCAAGGCATACGAGTTTGGCCTCAGCCAAGTGCACAAGAAAGGTGGGCATCAGTCAGAAAACAGGCAGCAGAAAACATGTAAAACAGCGAGTAACTAAATCACAGAGAGGATTTGCAGTTAATTCTCTTTGAAGCCCACAACGTCACTTGCATTACAGTGTTGTCATCTAAAGATAAAATCACCATAAGGAACAGAAGTCTAAGATGAGATGTTTTTCTAGGAAGGCTCTCCATGCTCACAGTCCAGACATTGAGATCCCACATCAACCTTATTCTTCTTTCAGGAAATCAGTAAAAATTTTGTTAATGACCCAAATATGCCTGAAGTTGAAGAAAAGGCTAATGACAAATTAGATGGATCGCATGGAGCAGGCCCAGTAAACAAAAACCACCAGGTTTCTACAGTTCCTTTCTTTCCAGAGCATTCAAAGAATTCAAGAATGCAATGAGATTAAAAATAGAGAGGAAAAGCAAAAATATATGAATTACAGTCGTTTCCATGCAGCATATGGTTCTGCCATAGAACTTCAGGCAGGAGCTCTACTCTGCATGGCTATACAGGACAATGTGACAGCTACTGATGAAATCATAAAAGACCAAGACATTCTTTACTTAACTAATAACTCCCTTTCCTTACCTATTTGATAATAAGAATAGAAAAGAATAGAATATAGAACATTTCAGTTGGAAGGGACATACAAGGATCATCTAGTCCAACTGCCTGACCGCTTTGGGGCTGACCCAAAGTTCAAGCATGTTAAGGGCATTGTCCAAATGCCTCTTAAACACTGACAGGCTTGGGGTATTGACCACCTCTCTAGGAAGCCTGTTCCAGTGTTTGACCACCCTCTTGATAAAGAAATGCTTCCTAATGTCCAGTCCAAACCTCCCCAGCACAGTTTTGAACCATTCCCATGCACGCTGTCACTGGGTACCAGGGAGAAGAGATCAGCACCTCCCTCTCCGCTTCCCCTCCTCAGGAAGCTGTAGAGAGCAGCGAGGTCACCCCTCAGCCTCCTTTTCTCCAAACTAGACAAACCCAGAGTCCTTAGCTGCTCCTCATAGGACATGCCTTCCAGCCCTTTCACCCGCTTTGTTGCCCTCCTCTGGACGCGCTCAAGTACCTTAACATCCTTCTTAAATTGTCAGGCCCAGAACTGCACCCAGTACTCAAGGTGAGGCTGCACCGACATTAAATACCGTGGGATAAACACC